CAGGTTGAGAACCACTGAGTTAGATAAATAGCTGATACTTCTGGTTATAATATTTTCAAATTAGAGAACGAAAAATGAAAATGTCAGTAAAATTACTTTATGAATGTTTCTAGTATTGAAATATTGGCAAGAAATAGGGTAAATAGTCTCGATTGTCAGGTACCATTATTAAACGAGTTCATGAAGATATGGTACACATTGCATAATCTACTAAATATCAAAGCCAAAAGGTGGCCTCGAGACTTGACTATGGGATTGTCATGTGAATAAATGTCTAAATAATAATTTATATAACATTTACAGTCCGAAAAATAAAAGACATGCAATCGGTTGATATGGCTCTTAATGCGATATCTCATGATTAGCCATTATAGTTGATAACTTACACATCCGGTGCAATGAATGAATTATTATGCTATATGCAGAAATGTTGATGGCGTATAATGGATATGGTTTTGATAGTTGGATTCTAATTTTCACGACCAGGGCACTGGGAGGATCAGAATTGATTATGACGTTTTGTTTTTCTATAACTTCCTCCAATCGCCTGGACTGTAGTCCTCTTCAGCCAATAAGATGTATATACCCTACCCCCCCCCCCAACCCACCCGCCCTTATTAGGTTAATAAAAATGACCGTTTATGTTAACCAAAATTATGAAATACGGTATCGAATTAAGTGACTGTAGTTTATCAGATCCCGTTGCATGACGCGAACGACAAGAGAAACTTGTGATTTGTGTGTACGTGGAAGAAAATGGGAGGAAATGGCACTTAGGAGAAGGTGTTAAGTGTTTCTTTTGTCGTTCAATTTCTAATTGTTTTTATAAGGTTTGTTCCTGTGATGCCTTGCTTTCTGCTGAATTCCGTTTATCACCGTTTCCTCCTGTTCGTGGAGCAGGTTTTGGTCTCATCATGGCCGTACTTGGTAATGGTTCCCCACTTTCACTACAATAAACATGGATAACGATGATGTTAAATATTATATACGAGATAACGTCTGAAAAAATATATACAGACCTCATGGCACAGACTATTATCAGTATTCAAATTTTAAATGTTACTTTCAGTTTCAGTTTCGGGTCAAAATGTGACTAAAAGTCCTACAGAGATAAGTACCTTTATTAAAATTTAAGAAATGAAGACGGATATACGCCATACAGTGTGCTTTGAGGGACATCTTTCCCGGACAGCGGCGCTACCGCCAACTCTTATATCAAATTCCAACTGTCAAGGGATCTTTTACACCAATGTGTACACGGGACCTTTGTTTTTCGTCCCATACGAACGACTATACATTGTCCCTTGCCATGCGCTCTGTCTTGCACCACTGACAAGGGAAAGTCACACCGGAAACTTTCTCGGTATTAAATTTAAGAGTACCGATAATTTTCAATTACATTTATATTTTATTTATTAGTTATTCTTACTCGTCTGTTTCTTTTTTATTCGTGTTTCTACGATGACGTATCAAGAGAATGACTACTACTACAACAACTACTACGACAACAATAACGCCTACGGTTGCTCCGATGATTATACCAATATCACTTTCATCTGGTGAACCTAGAAAATGAACAAAATTCAACATTCTAGAAAGATTAGAAAGAAAATTAATAGCCTGGGGCAGTTTTCATCAAACGTAAGTTATTAAAACCCGAATCACTTAAATCTAATTCACGGGTTTTGCATTTAAAACCATTATGAGATTCAAACAGCAAACTGTTCTGCTTCGACTCGGCTGATGAAGACGAAGAGAGAGAGAGAGAGAAATGGGGTTTAACGTCTACTCGACACAAACTAGGTCATTTCGGGACTAACATATGGTTTAATTTTATTTCAATAATTCGCTTGCGCGTAGGGGTCTTTAGCAGTGGGAGGAAACCGGAGGACCCGGAGAAAACCCACGAGGTTGGACAGGCGACCCTACTCCTTGTCACGTACAACCGGGGATTCGAAACCACGCCAGCCGACTCAATGACAGACTTTATGATACAGCGCGCGCACGCTAACCATTCAGCCATCCAACCCCCCACTAATGAAGACGGACATACGCCATACAGTGTACTATGAGGGAAAGTTTGCCCGGGCAGCGGCACTATGACCTATTCTTATATATAATTCCAACTGCCAAGGGATCTTTTACGTGCACGCCTATGTATTCACGAGGCCTCGTTGTTTCGTCCCATCCGAACGAGTAGTGAGAGAGAGAGAGAGGGGGGGGGGGGGGGGTAACGACCACTAGTCAGAAAATAACATATCACACAATTATTTCAATTTTCAATTATTCGAGTTGGCGATGGGGTCTTTTGCAGCAGGTGGAAAACCAGAGGACCCGGTTGAGCTGGTGAACCTACTTCTTATCATGTACAAGCTTGGGATCGAAACGACCCCACTTTGCTCAATGCAAGGCATTATTATCTAAAACGCACGGGTAGAGGACTCGACCCCCCTTCCCTCCCCCGACCCCCATAAATGGCTAAAATTGTGTTTATTGAGGAAAGCAAAGTAGGAGAATACATTGAAAGGGTAGGTTACCGTTCATCAGAATAATTAAAGCCAAGGAGAGGGACACTATGGACTTGGATTTCAGAGACGCAAGTTACTGGATAGTCACCCAAGGGAAGTGTTGCCCGGATAACCAACATCTTCGCGGGACCTGTTTTTGGTGCTATCCGAACGACTAGACACCTTTCCTTGCCAGCCTCCACCCTGCATCAGTTACAAGGGGAAACCACCCCCCTCCCTCCCAGGAACTTTCAAACAGAGTATTATATATATACGTACCATTACAAGAAGCTGAAACGTACGGATCCCAGACTATCTGATCATCACCAGATTGTATACACGTATATCTGGTATCACCTGATAAACTACCTTCTGTACATCCAGTTATCCTAACAACACTGCCTAACGTATAGTTCATATTATCTTTAACACCATTAGCTACACTTAATAAACCACAAGACGGTACTGAAATGATAATATATTTATACCGAGGCATGCTCAAAGCACAAGTGGTCAAGACGTTACCCACATAAAATCTTGAATAAACGTTGGATTTTTTAAATCATAGAGTTATGCTATAAGGTTTTACTTTTATTTCGATCTGGATTAATTAATTATTTAAATTATATGCAGCAAATTTTGGTGCCAGATTACTTACTAGAAACTAAGGGAGTTACAGCTGGGTGTAACTTTATTGTAATCAAATGATTATAAACCTTGCTCAGAGGAAGACCTTACAACCATCCACTACTGTGACTGGAGTCAAATACAGGAATTATCAGTAGTGGAACCATTGGAAAGAGTCGACAACAGGACGACTGCGTGTAGCGCTGGTAGAAACCGTCATCTTTTCGTGTGGCTTACCTTTGATCTGATAACTAGCGACATTTTGAATCCATTGCACTTTGCGTAGCGTCGCCAATCCAATCTTTTCATTTCCTGTTAATCTGTAGTCATGAATACATCGTTGATCACCCACGCATTTTTCCTTCACATAGAAATCATTAGCAGTTGGGGCAATGGGTGTTTGGTCCATTATTGTAGGTATATAGTTAGCGTCGTACCCTTGTGGAAACTGGAATATTTTTTCAGTACTAGTATCATGAATTCCCCCTAAAAGACACATGAATGTGGCATGAATTTAACGTATACAAGAAAAGAGCACAACTCGTGTGCTCATGAAAGCTAATATACCCTAATGGCGTCTTTATGTCCAGTAAAATCCACTGAAGTGTAATGGGGTCTAAAAGCAGTAGTGGCTCAGTGAGTAAGGCGCTGGCGTTCACTAGCCTGCAGGTCTCGTTTTGGCCGAGGAAGTACACCTTGGATTTTACGACATGGTTTCCCTTTGTCAGTGGTGCAAGTCCTGGCATAATTTCCTTCATGGTATACTAGATGGTGTATGCCCGTCTTAAAGATACATTATGGGAGATTTGATAACGAGTTGGCAGTTCTCACTATAATAGTTAAAAGCTAGATGATGTAAAGGCAATTTGCTGAAAATTTCATTCAAATTAATCCACTATATACCGAGAACTAAGTGGTTGAAATTTCTGGCTAGCCTTGATCATCATTACTAATGTCAGTACGATAAACAGCAGTCTCGATTATCCATTTAATCGTTAAATCGTGAAGGAAAGTTATGCAATAAATCGGCTCACAATCCACTAAAGATCGCAGGCTAGCGATGCCATCTAGAGTTGATTATGGTCTGGATAGGTTAATTAATGTCTAATTAATAATTTAGATAACATTTCAGCCATAAAGAAAGACCTGCAATAGACAGATTTAGCCCTTGCATAATGTATGTTTAATTATCCCGGTTGATGCAGAGAAGTGGGACGTTAAAGTCTATTGCAGATCTTTGTTTTGTCTTTATATATTATATAAACTATTATTTAGACATGTATTCACATGCCAAGCCTACGGTCAACTCTCTAGGCCATCGGGTGGCGAAGATTTAAACGGATTAAAAGAAGTTCGTCATTTAATGATTTAATTTAACGTTGTTACGATAATAAACAATCTATGCCACATCTTGTCCAAATGTCAAACAGTGATAACTTCGATCAGAATAAAGTAATTTGAATGACATTTTCAATATATTCATTTTGCATTATCTATTTTTGAACAGTCAGCTCTTTATCTATATTGTACATAATGCATCTTTAAATTTCATTTCGTACACTGGAGAAGGTATGCCAAAAGACAAATCAAGGAGTATTTGTTGACGATTTTCAGCTAAACAGAATGTCCCAGACGTTTCTTTCTCTGTGTGGAACTTACGATTGCTATAACGAAGATTGTTTGTGTAAGCCTCTGATATCTGGGCACTATGTTTAGTTTTGTACTCACTGAGCCACCGGGGCTTCCAAAAATTCATCAGTCAACATTCACCTACATGATAAAGCAAAGTGTGTGTAAATTTCTTGTGGAGAACTGTCTGTCGGTAATTGGGTTCCATCTGGTAGTCTGAAATCATTCTCCATATCATCATCCCAAGTACCCAATAAACCATTGGTCGACCCCTAGAGATATAAATAGAACATACAATAAACCACTCGTCGACCCCTAGAGATATAAATAGAAATACAAAAAAAAGTGTTCTAGGCCGACTCGGTTGGACACTTCCAGCTAGGCAAAAGAAGCTCGTCCGGAAGACTCAGTCCGACATGCGAATCGAGTAAACCTTGTCTGGTCCTCGTGGAGGAACTGTGGTTCTCTACAGCTAGCTTCGCTTGAGAACTGACTCTAAGCTAGTTGACCGATATTTTAAGTCTTAAATCGACGATATTAGTCGAAAACACTAAATATACTTCGAGAATTTTGAGAAGTATTTATTCTCCTTCCATTCAATGGAAATAAATAGGTTTAAATATAGTCTTTGTGTGTATGACAGATTAGAAACGAAATAGAACCGCATTACAAAATAATATTCTATTTCTGAATATGGCGGGTATTCAGGGCAGAGATCTATTCTCGAAGTATGAAGTAGATGGATCTCTGTGTGCAGAATGGACGTAGTCCCTAGTCGTTTGGAGAGGACGAAAAGCTGAGGTCCCCTGTACATGTTTGCGTGCACACTGATTAGCAGTGAATATTTGCTAGGCCGCTACAATCACTGATAAGGATGACATCGATGCGACTTAATGATCTGACAAATAAAATTCTAAAACATTTTTTATATGTATACTATTCAAAAAAAGTAGGGGATATTTGATTTTTAAGTGTTATTAAAGTCACCTAATGAAACTGACGAAGAAACAAATGACAAAATGAAATGAAGTTCACATTCATCGATTTATTCCAAATGATCGTTAGACTAAGTAAGGCACAGACTGACCATTATAAGGGTAAAATGATACCCGGGGTCAAACAGCAAAGTTACCACAGCATCACAACCAAGTCAGTAACGGGTAAATCCTCCTCTGTTTGCCAAACAAGCATTGATCCGACGTGGCATACTCCTAATGAGACGTCTAAGGTCATTTTGGTCCAGATTGTCCCATTCCTGTTGCAACGCAGCAGCAAGTTCTTGGACATTGGCAGGACGTTGTTGACGTTGACGTAACCTCTGTCCAAGCATGTCCCAGACATGCTCGATGGGGGAGAGGTCGGGACTCAGTGCTGGCCAAGGTAATGTGGTGATGTTCTGTTGTTGGAGGTAACCTGTAACGATCCTGGCCCTGTGACATCTTGCGTTGTCATCCTGGAAGATGAAACGGCGGCCATGACGTCGTGCGAACGGCACAACATGGACTGCCAAGATGTTGTCCCGGTAGTACTGGCCTGTAACACGCCCTGCAACAACATGTAAAGCCGTTCTTCCAGCAACAGTGATGCCTCCCCACACCATAACAGAACCATCCCCAAATCGATCATGTCTGATGACGTTAACGTCTTGGAAGCGCTCGTTTCGACGACGCCACACCCTCCTACGTCTGTCCAAAAAATCAACAGTGAACCTTGACTCATCTGAAAACATCACATTGCTCCAGCGTCGATTATCCCAGTGTTGACGATCCCTACACCAACGACGTCTTGCCTGAATGTGATGATCTCTCAAACAAGGGATCACGCGAGGACGTCGGGCGCGAAGGTGACCCCTATGCAGTCGATTCCGAATCGTCTGGCCACTCACTCTCACACCAGTGTCTGTTTGAAGACGAGCGCTGATCTGATTTGCTGTGATGACACGATTTCTCAAGGGCAAGGTACGGATAAATCGATCCTGGGCTTGAGTTGTCGCCCTTGGTCGACCTGAGCGTGGTCTGTCCTGTACACATTGTGTATCACGGTATCTGGACCATAGCCTGCTTATGACAGACTGAGAAACATTCATCGTCCGCGCCACAACCGCCTGTGTTGTGCCGATCTGTAGCATGCCAAGGGCACGTAACCTTTCATTTTGGGTAAGCCGACGCATATCAAAATTTGTTTTCTGGTCACTAAAACAATTAAACTGATGTTTCCACCCTGGAATTCAATGCCACAATGACTGTAACATTCAAAGTCAGAGTCGTGCAAATCTTGGGTTGGACCCCCATGATGATCCCAAGCATCACCTGCATTCCATGCGGTAGCTATTGGTGCGTTTGGGCGTCACATGTAACTGGAAATGTTTCTTCTGTTAGGTTCTATAGTGACTTTTTTCGTAGTCATTTGCATATTTTAGTATTATGCCCCCAAAATCAAATATCCCCTACTTTTTTTGAATAGTATATTAGAAAAATAAATAAAGACGTTTTTGAAGTATTTGTATAGGTAAAACTTTTTTCTTATTCAGTGTAAATGGGTATTAAAATGAGTAAAAGACAACCAGTAACCTTCTTATGTTAACAATCCACGCGCCATTGAGTCAATGATTGACGCCGCGGGATGTGACGTCACGTGTTGAAGATAGTCATCTTTTACAGAGAAGACTTTCGTAATTCTTTACGAAACAGATTGGTTTGCGTGCACGTAAAATAACCCTTGACCGGTGGAATTCGATCACTGTCGATGTGATTACAGAAACTGAAAGTATACCTTGAATTCAGGTGGTATGACAACAGTAAGATGAAGAAGTTGATTAACGGCAGCAACTAATACCCCAACACCTGACTGGAACATTATGGTAAAATTAGACTGTGGGTTACTGTTATAACCAACACTATTCTGTACCACAGACACACCTGTACGTAATAAACACAAATGAGCAAAGATCTGATTTTCAATACCCAAGAGAATTGTCTAATATCGCTATTAGCCTATGACAATTATCCTTGGGAACGTAATTGGAAAATACAATTTTATGACACCTTATAAACCTATAACGGTAAATTTCTTCGATCTTTGGAATATATTCTATGCCTGGAATAACTTGCGGTCTGAAAGTCGGGGCGGCTTTGAATATATACAGGGGAGTTTGGGGTTATTCTTCTGAAAGTGTTTCTTTGAACCTGTAACAAGTTCTTCTTCCAGGTTTGGATTTCTTCCATAAGAAAACATGATATAAGATTTTTGTTACTGGAATTCTGAGATATTCTCATTTTACGTACATGTAAACATAGACGGTTTATAAGCAGGACATGGGGGCATGGCAATGGACAACGTAAATATAGTCGTTCGGGCGGGACGAAAACCTGAGGTTCTGTGTACACATTAGCGTGCACGTAAATATAAGGCGTACGCCTGTCTTCATTGTATAGCCCAGTCGGAGCAGAACAGTAGGACGCTAAACCCCATTTCATTAATTTTTTTCTTATTGACTGTTAATGAAACCTACCTATATAGTCTTGCCATTCTGGTTCTGATCCGCCAAACACCCTAGTCTTATTATTAACAATAACATTTAAAACTGGTCCCGAGCTCCCAACTGGAGAATTAAACCTGATCTCCACTACACAACTGCCTGGAGCTTTCATCACCACACCAGATAATACCGTTATATTTATTGGTAATAGCGGGGTGTATGATAAATGCGCTACAAAATACATAGCATATATTTATATTACCCTGGGCCTTGTTTTTCGAAATCTTAACTAAAGATAAAATCCAAATTTTAGTAGATACTTCAATTTTGACTGGCTAAGCACTAAAATCAATCTTATATTATCCAATCAAATTACTAAAATTTGGATTTTATCGGAGTTAAAATTTGGTGAAACAGGCCCCTGACTTGATACTTATATTTATTTGGTGATAATTTCTATATCGATATATGAATTTCAATGATGTGATATTTATTGTACGGGGTGGGGGGGGAGCTCACGGTGGCTAAGTGAGTAAGAGGCTGGCTTGCTATTCTGGAGGTAGGTGGTTCGATCCCGGTGTTGGCCGAGAAAGTTCATTGGGATTTTCCGGCGTGATTTCCCCTTATCAGTGGTGCAGGACGTAGGGTCTGACAAGGACAGCTGTCTAGTCGTTCTGATGGGACGAAAAACCGAGGTCCTGTGTACACATTGGCATGCACGTAAAAGGTCCCTTGGCACTTGGAATCCGATATAAGACTAGGCCATAGCAGTGGGAGGACCCGGAGAAAACCCAGGAGGTTGGACAGGTGACCCTACTCCTTGTCACGTACAACCGGGAATCAAAACCACGCCAATCGGTTTAATTAGAGTCATGAATAGAATAAAACCGAGAGTAATCAAAGTGGTATTATGGGTGAGATGGAATAAGATTGCAATCTGTTTTCGATTACAATAGAATTCTAGTCGAACGAAAAGTTGCTCATTAATAAACAGGAAGTATATTCCATAGAATTGTGACCTGTGTATTAAATATATCAGAAACACATATTACATCGACAGTAATCATTAATAATCAGTGATATCTGTCAACATATTATTGTAACGAGAGACTTATATTAATACTTACTGTCTTCAAATCTTCCCTGTATGGACATCTGATCGTGTTTTAATAACCAATATTCACCTCTACCATAAAAATCATAGGAAACTAAATCAAATGTTGTTATATGAGGATCGCCGTAAATAAACGCTGAAAAGATATCAAGTATTAGGCTTCCCTGCAGTTTGTGCCCTGGGACCTGTTTTACGAAATTTTAACTAAGATAAAATCCAAATTTTAGTAATTTGATTGGATAATATTAGATTGATTTTAGTGCTTAGCCAATCAAAATTGAAGTATCTACTAAAATTTGAATTTTATCTTTAGTTAAGTTTTCGAGAAACAGGGTCCAGAAGCCCATCTTTTCCCGGCAAGACCACAAAATCTGTGTTGATTTAAATTGGCAAATAATTCGTGTTTTCAATGTCAAAGACTTTGGGTGATATTGAGTTAGAGATTTAGCTACTTTAAACGTAGCACACAACCCGTCGTGCGTGTTTTGACATGCACTTGTTTGGTAGCCCACAGACCAGCCGCAAGAAACAGGGTGAAATGTTACATGTATATGTGCATGACCAAAAGTCTCTACGGTCAGTCTGCGATCTTCTACGGTGCCGATCACACGCAAGTGATGCGTAAGAGCGACGCACAAGTTTACTACCCCCCACCCCCCATAGACTGCCCGTAGTAGCACGTACGGCGGGTTGTGGGACAGGCTTTAAGTCGCCCATGCTAATAAAGTCCCGATGCGTGTTTTTAAGGCTATAGAATCACTTGAAAACAACCTATAATATTGTAACAAATGAATCTCTAATGGTTCAGTCCCGTTCAGTATGTGGCATTAAAATTCCATTGATCAATGCTGCTCGCGTTGCAATAAGCCCATCGCCATTTTGTTGTCCGCGAAAATTTATATTGATAGGTCTTTTTTTACAATCGATTGAACCCAAGCCGGGACATTTTCTAGCATTTGGTATTTTGATTTTGCTTTCTTAAAGATGCATTTTTATTTAAGATTTAGATAAAGAACTGACCGTTCTTACCATAATAGTTCAAAAACAGATAATGCAAAATGAATATATTGAAAAAATTCATTCAAATTACTCTTTTCTGACCGAAGTTATCTCTGGTTGAGCTTTTGACCAGATGTGACATAAATTATTCATTATCGTAACAATGGTATTTGTTATTCTGAACAATTTTGTATTCTACTCTACTGGATTAGAAATGTTGGACACCGTCAACACTTATCGGCTGATCAAAGACGCCAGTTTCCAATAGCCTTAAAATATAAACTTCGGTGAATTACTGACCTGTTTTAGGCGGGGAATAATTCTTACAGTCACGTGTTGCTCTTTGCTCCATATATAAATCACACTGTTGATATTCTACCCAGAGGCAACAATGATAGAAACTAATGACGTCATGGATCCAGTGGGACAAGGAAGGGACATAACCTGGTTTATTAAATGGTGGCGCTCCCCAGTCATGGGCTCGATCTGGTGTAGAGCCTTGATAAGAATCAGCGGCATATTTCAAACTTCCATCCTCGTTGTAACAACATTGATTCCCAGCGCCGGACGCCCTGTAAATTGATTGGTGATTTGAAAATGTCAGAATACTGCGATATAGCCTACAAAGATGAATTATTGCGAAGTTGTTCCTGATAATGGTGAGTTTCCTACTAGCGAGTACTACCGGTAGCCTACCTAAACACCAGATTGATCCCGGTTTGAATTTAATACCCCCCATTTCCGCCCCCAAACAGGCGCCATAGAGGGCCTATCTTATTCAGTAGAGAAACGTAATGATTAAATTAAATGGGGTTTAATTAATGTTTTCTATACCAACCGAGCTGATAAAGACGGGCATATATAACGCAGGGCTTTATGGGGGAAATTCCGACTATCTTTTATTGTATTCCAATGATCAATGGTTCTTTACTTGCATGCACACGCAGACCTCCGTTTTTTCCCGGCCGAAAGACTAGATGCCGAACATTGTGTACTATACCACTGAAAAGGGGAAATCAAGCTGGAAAATTCGAGGAACAGTCTCCCCCAATAACGGGACGAGCCTATGAGCTCATGGGCTCGAGCCGCAACTACTGAGCCAACATGGCGCTATGAAAACTAATTTCCTGGTTCACAGATCTGGTAGTAGATATTATCTAGAGTAAATATCCCTTTAAAATTGTCGGCGATATCACTTCGTTGAAAGCGGACGTTAAATAAAACTATTTCACAAATTTAAAATTAATTGAAAACTTACGTGGGGTTTACAGATCGAACGCAATGAATTGCACCTATATGGTAATGACAAGCACTTCCGGTGTGCATATTACAACCAACGTCTGGCTGCCAGCGACCAAAATCTGTTATAGCTTGATTCAGATTACAGGGACATGCCAAAAGTTCTTCCTGCCAAGCCATATTTAACTTGTCTTTTTCATACCATTTCTGACATTTCTGAGAGTTCCAATCGGCACCATAGGTTTGTTCCATGTAATCCCTTACAAACCATCCGAGTGGTACAACACCGTATGTGTAAGAACTGTTCAAAACAAAAATGATACATGTCGTTTAATGAGAGGGAGAGACAGAGACAGAGAGAGAGAGAGAGGGTGGGAGAGAGAGAGAGAGAGAGAGAGGTCTTTACTTTTAGCAGTGGGTGGAATACGCTACCCTACGTACAGACATACCATTGCACTACCTAAGCCCTACGATTAGCATTACATAGTGGCATTAGTAATAGGATATGACAAAAGTTGGAGAGATACTAGAATTATCCACCAGTTTTTGGCTTAAACTATGTATGAAGTAAGACTGGTGGTTGAATGTTCAACCTGTATGGCTAATCTGATTGGTGGACATATTCCAAAGCATAGTCTACATATTTGTTAGCCATGTGATCTCCTCATATGAGAAGTTGTATAAAGTGTTTTAGACGGATTAAGCATACCCTACATGATTCACGAAACTCGCCAGTACCTGTGTAACTCGTCAGTAAATATTTAAAATCTTTAATTTATGAACAAAAGAACGTTTCAAATCGGAATGTGGTAAGCCAAAAACCTGATGGAAGTCGTTATTTAAAGGAGCTAAATCGCTAATATTTTGGACCAAGAAATTGGCACAAATGAGTCGCAACACATATAATAATGTAATATGAATTTATATAAACTGTTTTACATTCAATTGTGTCCGTTTTACTGTGAATTGTCATTAGTTATGATCGGCGAAATATGGCAGAAGTCTCAACCGCAAGTCAGTTTCTAGTGTCTGGTTATTCCAGTCAACACCGATATCATTTATTGCGCATGCTCTCCAAATAAGAATATGATATCATTGTTTGACATGACTTGTGGAATATGTCTAGCCTCATTCTTTGATCACCTTGTTACAAATGGCACTGAAACGCATTATGGTACACGATTCGTGTACCAATGGTAAAATGTTTATTTTGTCTTAAATATTGGATATCAGAAGCCCATCTTTTCCAGGTAAGATCACACCACCATTGCTGATTTAAATTGCAAAAAAATCGTGTTTTCAATGTCGAAGATTTTGGATGATATTGAGTTACGGACTTAGCTACTTTAAAATACATAATTAAAGGACAATATTGGTGCCAGTCATTATCACATATGTGATAGAGCTGGTTAAACACATTCCAAATATAATTTTAACTCAGAGATCATTGCTACGATAGCTGAGTAATACAGTTTTCCAGAATCGGAAGTGACGAACGCCAAAGGAAAACACGAGTCATCTCTCTATATAACTGACTGATGTGACGAGTGACAACGGATATACGGGCGAATTTCTGCTCACTAATAATTTATTCGAAGACCAAAAGTTGTTGTATGAGATTGTGAGAGGATATCTGACAATTCATAAAAAAAAAATGACTGCCACTAGATAAGTGAACACGAAAGAAAAACAGAAAAAGTCCGTGCATTACCATGTTTTTTATTAAAGATATAGAATGAATATAAACAAGGGAATGTACGGACTATTTCTATTTTTCTCGTGTTCTCTTATCTAATGAGATTCAATTACTTTATTGAATTGTCAGGTGTCCTCTTACAGTCCCATATATCAACTTTGGTCTTCGAAGGAATTATTAGTGAGCAGAAATTCGGCCGTATATCCGTTATCACTCGTCACATCAGTCAGTTATATAGAGAGATGCCTCGTGTTTTCCTTTGGTGTTCATCACTTCCGACTCAGGAAACCTGTATTACTCAGCTATCGTAGCAATGATCTCTGTGTTAAAATTATATTTGGAATGTGTTTAACCAGCTCTATCACACATGTGATAATGACTGGCACCAATATTGTCCTTTAAGTAGCTGTTATCTCACTAAGGTGTTAAGACCGTGACTATAATACACTATAAGTGGCATGTTTTACAGCTAGTTACACACTTGTTTATTAATGATATCCGCCACATCATGGTTGGGTTTATGTTTACACCAGAAATGACATCTTTAATTTACAGCTAATTATATCAAATATCAAATTTCTTAATCAATCCTAATTATAAACGTAAGCAGACGACATGGAGGATAAACACGACTACCTGAGACTGAAGAATCATTAGAATTGATTACCTGTTTTTAGTTGAAGCAGTCCAGTATTGCCTGGGTAATCGTACCTCAACAACCCCCATCTCGTACATCCAGCACTGGTCACCCTTGCATTGATGATCAGCAGTTTTGAAGGTATATTGTCCTTCAGCATTCAACACGTCCTTTCCGAGTACATCCAGCAATTCCCAATAAAACTAAAACCACAGAAATAGCGATGGTTAACATTATTTTGTGATGAATTATTTCTGGAGACCATGGCATACATTACTCTTGGTAATCGTTACCAACATGTAGTTGTTCCTTTACGTGACTAATCGGAAGCTATTGTGGCTCGGTGTGGCCCCCTAACCTTGGGGTTCCGTGTTCGATCCCTGCGTTGGCCGAGAAAGTTCATTGAGATTTTCCGGTATGACCCCCCCCCCTTGTCAGTCGATAACTGGTCTGCAGCCAGAGGCCACAATTAAGAGGGGCCCATAAATTAGTTCTAAAATAATACCTGCTAAATATTGCATATGGAGGTTCAAACTGTCTTCCACGACAAAAAAAAAGGATTGACGTATTTAAACAGTGATATTTGGGACGTAACGATGTACAAGGTCCGTTACACAACCTCTTCAGATTCAGGATTCTAAGGTAAAAAGGGATCTTTAATTCATCTGAATAATGCAAAAATATCACACCTTTTCCTGAAGAATCTCCTTTGTCCAAACATATAGCTTATTTTGGCTTAAAATTAGCCTATTTTGACACGAAAAACCTGATAATATTTTTTGGAGCTCTAAAAAGTAATTTCTTTGGGTATAGTTTAGGAGGCGGGTGCTCATTTCCCATTCTTTGTCTCCAACGCTAATAAACATAAAATATACGCTTACCCCATTTTCGTCTTCTCGATAACCTATTAAGTTAATATCTACTGTTGCACTACCACCAGCATCATTTAAACCAGCTATATCCCATTTTAAAGATAGTTCTTCAGGGTTGGTTTCATTCCAAACAACTCTTTCTGGATTCTGGGGGTTTATAGGGTAAACGTGATGATTTGATCTTCCGAATAAAACTGTAGTAAAATATTAAAACAGCTGGGTTATTTCAGTTCAGTCATGTTTTGTTTTAGATGTAAGGGGGCTGCACCAGGATTTTCTAAGAATGAGGAGCAAGATAGAGGGCCTGGCCAGGCGCAACGTTTAGTCGGCGTGTAGGTAAAAGATCCCATGGCTGATGGAATTCGTCCTGATTGGCCCAGTCAGAGCAGATGAGTAGGACGTTAAACTTTATTTCATTTCCTTTTCTAAGTATAAGGTCCAGAAACATGGGTAGATGGGGTTTTGTTTATAAGACCTGGCCACAAGTTTGAGTAAATTCTTAACTTAAGCCTGAGAATGCTTTGTGAACTTGGGGCCTGGCCTCGAGTTCACAAAGCATTCTCAGACTTAAGTTAAGAATTTACTTAACTTTCAATCACTGTTTATGAGAAATATCTTTGACCCAGAAACACACAACTTTGCACATGATTTCTTATTGATGTATTTGATACATTAAAACAACAAAAGTATTATAAAGGGCTATGTTTTAGTTAAAATAAGGCGAACCGGTTTGAGTAAATTCTTAACTGAAGCCTGAGAATGCTTTGTGAACTCGGGGCCAGAACCATTTGTGAACGAATTAAGACACAAATGATTTACTTTTTATCCATATATAATATTATTATCTGTTTAAACTATCCTGGAATGACCTTCTGGTGTTGGGTGTGTGTGAGTTAGTCAGTGGGGTTTGACACTCCCTTCCACTTAGGGTGATATCGCTGACAAGTGTTTCTTTGAAAACTTGCGGGAGGAGTCGTCACACAAGAGGTTAAAGGTTGAAGACGGGTACATGATTAAGAGATCTAATCACTTCCATTTACTTGGGAGGGGGGGGGGATGGATGGCAGAATGGTTAGGGCGCGCTGCATCTTAAGGTGGTTTCGATTCCCCGGTTGTATATATGTGACAAGGAGTAGGGTAGCCTGTCCAACCTCGTAGATTTTCCCAGGGTCCCCCGGTTTCTCCCACTGCTAAAAACCCATAGGCAAGCGAATTATTGAAATAAAATTGAACTATATGTTGGTCCCGAAATGACCTAGTTCGTGTCTTGTGGACGTTAAAGCCCATTTTTTTCTGTCTCTTTCGATTTACTTTATTAAAGGCGCCTTATGAGTGCGATGTCGGGTGTGTGCGTGTGTGTGTGTTGTGTGTTAAGCTTATGGAATAGGTCCCGTTAATGCGTTTACTGTTTCGAAGCAGATATGATTTCGTGGATTTGTGGCATACATAAACTAGTAAACTCTTACCAATATGAAAATGTCCAGTTAGTGTCTGTGATTGACCTTGAGTGACAACCAAATTGACCACACCCCTTTCTGTTAACTTTGGTACCTCACAGTGAATTTTGGGCGAATTAGGAAATATCATAGCCTGTGTTTCTTCCGCAAATCCGAATTTACACGTGGCCTGAACATCCGGTTGGGTACAATATCCTGATATCTCTATTATTTCTCCGCCATACATGTTAGCAAACTGGGGATAGAATTCCAATTTTCCTAAAATAATACTCATTAAAATCAATAATTGATATTTTTAAGTGCAACGAGGAAACCCCTAAATACAACACACACAAACATTCATAATTAAAGAGTAATTAAACGAAAAAATTACAAAATATTTTATAAAAAAATCTTTTAGTCAGAAGGGTCCTTTTAGGTGAGGTTTTGGTGATCTAGCTAGAAACTGTTCCACACATTTCGTCTCTCCCGCTCTCCGTATAGAAAATGTGCCCTTTAACCTTAGTTTTGCTTTTATAATTTCAACAAACACGCACGCATTATCCTAGACTAAAAAGTAACTCAGGGTTAATTGACATCTAGAAGTGCGGTTAAATATTTACAAGAAAAACATCTCAAGATTGGACATAACTTCGGGTGTTTGATCTCTGCATTGGCCGACGTGGTTTCCCCTTGTCAGTGGTGCAGAACGGAGGGCCTGACAAGGACAGCTGTCTAGTCCTTCGGATGAGACGAAAAACCGAGGTCCCGTGTATACATTGGAATGCACGTAAAAGAACCCTTGGCAGTTGGAATTCGATATAAGAGTAGGCGATAGTGCCGCTGCCCGGGCAAAATTTCCCTCATAGCATACTGTATGGCGTATGCCCGTCTTCATTAGCCCAGTAGAGGAGCAGAACAGTAGGACGTTAAACCCCATTTCATTTCATTTGGACATAACTACTTCTCTGTTATTTACAAACGACCTTTCGTAAGACACAGCATAGGTTACATATTCAAGTTTAATTAGCTTGGAAACGAATAGGAACTGTATAATTACGTTATTAAATAACAACAAAAACATCCCAAGATTGGACATAACTACTTCTCTATTGTTTACAAACGACGTTTCGTAAGACACAACATAGGTTTCGTATTCAAGTTTAAAGGAGCTAAATCGCTAACATTTGGGGCCTAGAAATTGACAAAAGTGGGTCGCAACGCATATAATACTGTAATATGAATGTATATAAACTGATTTACATTCAGTGGTTTCCGTTTTTACTCCAATTTCAAAATCAGTTATGTTCGGCGAAATAAGCCAGCAGTCTCAAGCGAGTGCAAATTTCTAGCGTCTGGTTATTCCAGTCTACAAAAGCCGTTTGATTTGATGCAATGTGTCTAGCCTCGTCCCTAGAGTCTCTTGATACAACTGGGGCTGAAGCGCATTATGGTACACGATTCGTGTACCAATGGTAAAATGTTTATTTTGATATCAAAAGCCCATCTTTTTCCGGTAAGATCACAACATGAATGTTGATTTAATTTGACAAATAAATCGTGTTTTCAATGTTGAAGATTTTGGATAATATTGAGTTAGAGACTGAGCTACTTTAATTAGCTTGAAAACGAATAGGAACTGTATAATTATGTTATTAACCCCTTAACTGCGTAGGACGTTATATAACGTCCTGGACAACTGCCACTCACCGTGTGTAGGACGTAATATAACGCCCTGGAGGTATTTTCCCCAACCTATTCTTCGAACACGATCTCGGCATTGTGCCAGGACGTTTTATTACGCCTGGTCGAGGAATCTAATTGAAGGGAGACAACTCTATTTTTATATTTAGTTTTATTTTGGTTTAAGACCACTCAAATTTGTATTCAGGAAAAAATAGGCCCAAATATGATGTTTTTCGTCAAATTAATTACGCAATAGGGGGTAGTTAACGTCAAATTAATTACACAGTTAAGGGGTTAAATAACAGTGAAGTATTTACACCATAAATATCTGGTGTTGTTGTGTTTTTCTTGAAAACGTGACTTTATTAAATAATAGAGAAGTAATCATATGTATCTTGTGATGTTTTTTGTTGAGAATGATATGGGTTTACTTCTACCTGATGGTGAATTAGGAGGAAGACAGCCCCCTCTGATTATCACTTGCTCGGATACTTTATATATAAATCGTCCAACTGTATCACTGCCTTGTAAGTTTGGAAGTTGGTTTAATTTAGTTGAAGAACAGTCATCATCACAGTACACATCGGTCCATCCAATATTATATCCACCATTCATTCCAGCCTACACAAACATAACAACATTCCAATAAATAACCAAACAAAGTGGAGTGTATAGTTGCTAATTTATTCAGTTCTACATACTGTTTGGCGAATACCTACTCTAAGAACCCAATCTTAAAATACAGATTTATATTTCATTTCGTTTTTTTATACTTTCGCTGACCTACGCTACATGAAGATTTGACAAGTTGTACTCGAAGTTCGTGTCAGGGGTCATACGAGTGGCGTTTTACCCTATGAGCGTTGACGTTTCTAGTGGTTTAACCACAGTTCCGTGCATGGCACGCCAAGAAGTCGCCGTAACAGACTATTTTATTGGCTTATCCCTCAATTCAACCAAAAGGCCCGTAATATAACAACTCTTCCAGATCCTAGTGTAGTAAAGACAAGTAAAGAACCCTAACAGTTTTTAATTCTCTAAATAATTTTAGTTCTCTAAGAACAATTAAAATATGTCTTAGTTCCTTAAGAGCCATCAAAATAAGTTTCAGTTCTCTAAGAACCATCAAAGTGTGTTTTAGTTCCCTAAGATCCTTCAAAGTATTCTTAGTTCTCTAAAAAAACCTTCATAGTAAGTTTTAGTTCTCTAAGAACCTTCTAAGTAAGTTTTAGGTCCCTAAGAACCTTCAAAATATGTCATAGTTCTCTAAGAACCCCCATTGTAAGTCTTAGTTCTCTAAGAACCTTGAAAGCAGATCTTACCTGATAGTATGTATGTCCTGTGGAGTCCATTTTACCATAATTAAAGATGGTGAATGTCTGACTTTTACCAGCTACAATAACTAACTGGAATGTATTGGTCTGAAATATGACAGAAACATTATTTGATATAACCCCCAGACCTCAAGTAGGCTGTTGTAATCTTCTCTTGTCAGGGATTAGGGTCGTGGGCTGTCAAGAAAAGTGTGTTTAGTCGTCCGGAAGGGACATAAATCGAGTTCCATTCGTGTACTTATTGGTATACCCACAAAATTAACTTTGACAGTATAAAATGGAAGAACAGTAGATAGTCTTGTGAGTAAGGCGCTGGCTCGCTAGCCTGGAGGTCCCGGGTTTGATCACAGCAATAGTCGAGAAAGTTCATCGGGAATTCCGGTGTGGTTTCCCTTTGTCACTAGTGCAAGGAACAGTGTGTAGTCATTCGGATGGGACAAAAAATGGCGTCCATTGTAGGCTACGTGCACGTAAAAGAGCCGTGGAAATTGAAATTCGAAACGAGTTGGGAATCCGTAGGGCCGCTTAACGGGAAAAATTTTCGCGATCATAGCACAGTGCGTGGTGAACGACAGTCTTCAGTAGCCCAGTTGGTGCAGAAATTTAGGACGTTAAAGCTCATTTCATTTCAATATTTTTAACATTGGATTAAATATACCTGTGTGCACGCGTTTCCTTGACAACCATCTGCAGCACTGATTACATCTGTGACGTCAACCCATGTTACAACCAGGGCGGTATCAGCGGTAAATAACTTGACACCGACTACGTTAGTGATCATATATAGTTCAAGCAGCTGTAAGAAAGTTGGATCACTGTCGACAGATACACTTCTATAATATATAGTTCCTGGAATATCCGTTGTGTCAGCAGTGTTGGGTTCACCATTATAATAATAGGGTGCTATGAAGGGATAATTGTGCTCCTTTGGATTTTCTCGCCAATATTTAGGAATATAGGTCGTATTGGGGTTGAAACTGACGTATCCATCTTTAGATATCTGTGGAAAAACATAAATATACCATTAACCAAATACATTTTTTATCAAAACAAAATTAAATTGTTTCTTTGATAAAGACATGGGTACTCGTGACGAAATGTTGCATATTAATAAATTAGGTAATTGTTTTCCTATCCAAATTGTACACAGTGTTACAGTTACATCAATAAATCTCAGAAAATAGAGTAAAATTCCTGTTTTATAGAATTTTTATGATTATAACTTTAAACAATGTATTTAAACGATTATATGTTGTTTTTACCAGCCCCTTGGTCCTGCACGCCGGAAAATCCCGATAAACTTTCTCGGTCGACGTGGGGATCAAATAGGAACATCCAGGTTAGCGAACCAACGTCTTACTCACTAAACCATCGTGGCTCCCCAATAATTACAAAAGGTGGGGGAATAAAAGCTGGAATCTCCGGTTACTGTTATTTTGGGAAGATTTTGTCATGTAATTCCTCGTTATTTGTGAACTAAGTCTATCCATGATATGATTAGTCAAACATACTTACGTATAATGTACTGAAACTACGACCAAAATAATTAATAGCGGTTGGTAGGTTTATTAGAAGGAGTCTCGTAGAGTCATCTATTGTACTATCACCAACGTCAGTACCGAATGGATAGAGTGCTGTGTCATCACCTACAAGAAACAGTTTTATAAACTTAGAACAATAGTGCGTCTCAAATCTCAAATCTTTTTTTTTTTTTGGTGGGGGGGGGGGGGCGTGGTTCAAGTAGAACGATATAAAGCGCCTAGCACAATTTTCTTTCGTATGTTCAAGATTTTGATGTGTTTTGCGTTTAGGGAGGATAACAAACGCCCGAAAGACACAAGCTCTACGTAAGCTACTGCCTTAGAGAAATATATGTTTTTAAAATATGGTATGACAATAAGCTGCCCCTTTAATAAATATAATTTTGATGTGCATTGTGTTGCGTTTTACGGGGAGTTGGGAGTTGGGATTTGGGGGGGGGGGGGGCAAACGCCCGAATGACACAAGCTCTTTGTACTCCACTGCGAAATAATTATTTATGTTCTAAAAATACGGTCTCACAAAAATGTCCCGTCGTTGAATGAAATAAGTAGCCCTCTCCTGACGGGATATTTTCTCAAAATGATTTATAACCACGATGTCTTCCCTGTATAAAATATTTTCAATTGTCGTAGTGAAGATACCACTTGTTAGATTAAAGTACTCACACTGATCCGCAGTGAATATTTGCTTGGCCGCGACAATCACTGATAAGGATGACATTGATGCGGCTTAATGAGCTAGAAATATTAACTTTTTGCCTGCGACAAATTAAATTCTAAAACATTTTTTGTATATATTGGAAAAATAAATAAAGGCGTTTAACGTATTTGTAGGTAAAAATTATTTCCGATTTAGTGTAAATGGGTATTAAAATGACTAAAATGCAGCATTCTCTCCGAAGCAGTTATGTCTTATGTAAACAATGCACGCGCCATTCAGCCAATGATTCACACCGCGTGCTGTGACAGCACGTGTTAAGGCAGTCATCTATGACAGAGATATTATACGAGACTCGTAATTCTCTGTGAAACAGATTGTAAAGTACTCTTTAAGGACACGCTGTTTCTTCCCAAGATTGCTGACTTATTTCGCCGAACATAACTGATTTGAAATTGGAGTAAAAACGGAAACCATTAAATGTAAATCAGTTTATATACATTCATATTACAGTATTATATGCGTTGCGACCCACTTTTGTGAATTTCTAGGTCCCAAATGTTAGCGATTTAGCTCCTTTAAATATATTAAATCCACGACTAGAATTTGAGGAAGTACCCTCTTAAAGAGATTGGTCCAAAAATGGTAGTTTGTCATCCTTGGATCCTGATTAAACCGAATTGACATCGTTGTTCATGACCTGCATTTTTCATCAAATCGCACACAACCTAGGCTAGGGCTACCATTACTAATATTATAGCCCAGCTTTATTGGATTTCAAAAATTTAAAATAATAAAGAACCTTTGTTTTTTCTTGCACTGTATTCAAAAATATTTTTAGGTTAAAGAAAAAAAAAAGTAAAGGTGTGTGATATATTCTTACCTGTTGCTGATCCCAGTAGAATACAGGTAAAAATATAGACATAGTACTGTACGTTACAATACTCCATTTTGAACCAAGTTCCCGGATTGAGATAACGGAGTTATTTGTGTGAGTAATATTTGTGATAACAAAACCCCTTGTTTGATTGATAAAATAAAGGCTAGTCTCACGCTGTTAGTCATTGAGAATTACATGTCTTTACAGCAACTAGAGAGTACCAAGAAAGCCCAATTTGCCCACCCTACACAGCTTTCTGCGTTCGGTTTAGCTTTCTATTCTGGGTGCGGTCTGTTTAGCTTTCTATTTGGTGTGTTCTGTTTAGCTTTCGATTTCGGTTCTATTCTGGATGCACCCTGTTTAGCTTTCTATTCTCGATGCACCCCGTTTAGCTTTCTATTCTGGATGCACCCCGTTTAACTTTTTATTCTGGATGCACCCTGTTTAGCTTTCTATTCTGGATGTACCCTGTTTAGCTTTCTATTCTGGGTGCATCCTGTTTAGCTTTCTATTCTGGGTGCATCCTGTTTATATTTTCCATGTTGGTGCGTTCTCAATAATTTTGGGATTATGCGAAATTAAAAATTAAAGTTTTACAAAATGACAGTTCGTGCTGATAATCACACCACTTATGATGTCTCGTCATACTTTATATAAATGCCTATATGACTAAGGACATACCTTTTTAGTGATCTGCACTTAAAGGCCAATGAACACCAAGAGTTGTTTCGAGTAGCTGATTAGTCGTCGTTGAGGCCAAACTCTAAGCAGCTAAGCACGGCATACGTAATTCTAGTCGCCGATTTTCATCATGGACGTTTTGTTGGCGATTGTTTGCCGGGCATTACGGTCAGTAGCGGATTATCAGTGAGGCTGATGAGGCTGCAGCCTCAGGCCCAAAGATTTTGTAAACAAATTTTTTTAGACTTGTTTGATAAGATTAAAAACGCATAGACAATGGATGTTAGGGGGTGGGGCTTAGGCCCAACGGGAATCAACAAAGGCCCTCACCCTAAATTAATTAGGCCCACGCCATTTTGAATAGGCCCTAATGTTTGGAGATCTGATCTTATTTTTTAAACGTAGGCCTACAATGAACGTTAAATCCTTGTAAGTTTTCGGTTATGTCTTGCTTAAAGGAGCTAAATCGCTAATATTTGGGACCTAAAAATTGACACAAATGGGTCACAACGCATATAATACTGTAATACGAATGTATATAAACTGATTTACATTCAATTATTTCCGTCTTTACTCTCATTTCAAATCAGTTATGTTCGGCGAAATACGCCTGAAGTCTCAATCTAAAGTAAATCTCTGGTTATTCTAGTCTACATAGCATGTATTGCGTATGCTCTCCAGGTAAGAATTATGCGTCACCGTCTAGCCTAGTTCTTCAAGTCCCTTGTTAAAAATCGGCCTGAAACGCATTATGGTACACGATTCGTGTACCAATCTTAATTTTTTTATTTTGTCTTAAATATTGGATATCAGAAGTCCATCTTTTTCCGGTAAGATCACAACATCATTGATGATTTAAATTGACAAATAATTCGTGTTTTCATTGTCGAAGATTTTGGATGATATTGAGTTAGAGACTTAGCTACTTTAATATATTGTATCCACGTGACGTCATTTATGGGCATATAAAGTTACATTACCAATATCAAACGACTTTGGCTTAAGAAAAAATATCTAACAAAAGATCTTGTGCTAGTTTCGATGTAAACACCCCATCATGAGGAAATATTATCCTTGAAAATAGGTGTATGTACAGTTGGTTTCCGGTGACGTTTCTGCTGTCAAAGCATTTTGTACGACAAATTTCAATAGTTATAACTAATATTTTAATAAATTATAACCTCACTAACGAATCCCGTTTTGAATGTTAGCAACTACCTTGGCTCTAACTTTAAAAACTAAATAGGCCCTCCAGCAACTGCCGCCTCAGGCCTTAGTGGAGCTTAATCCGCCACTGATTATGGTGCACTAGAATTCTTCACCCCATGATGTATTTAGAAGAGTACATACTAAAAATGTTGGCCTCTCTATTATTATCAAAAGACACATTCTAAAATATCTTTATAAAGCCAGATATTTGTTGGTGATTATGTGGAAAATGATATGCTGCATACAGCCGAGAACCCATTGTCAAGAGTAATTCAGCGGTATGTTCAGGTGCACACTTTGAAGTATTTGTAGAACTAACGATGGTTCCGACAAATAAACCGTGGTTAACGTATTAGATTAGACAGTTCAATAAGTATACAGTCAGAACAAATTAGACAGTTCAATACGTATACAGTCAGAACTACTATTTAGTATAATCTTTGAAAGGCATTTAGCGATTGGGAAACACATTAATAGAACACAATTTTAATGGGAAACAATCACTGGTTTTATTCTAAAAGGATAAGAGGACACTTGTCGAAAGTGGTGCTTTTAGAATAAAACCAGTGATTGTTTCCCATTAAAATTGTGTTCTGTTAACTATTTAGTAATAAACAAATATTTTTTAAAACAATTTTATTTCAACATTCTTCAAATTATGGATTAAAAAGTACGCCATTATTCAATTACAAAACATACAAATTAGCTTTAAATTCTATATTTAAATTTCCTATCAATAAATTCATCAAGCCTAGGATTGATAATTCTGAAGTGACTCATTTGCTATTCTGAGATTAACAACTTTATTTTGAGTTTAAAAACTTTACTAAATTCACCGTTTATTTATATTTGTTCCCCTGAGTACTGACTGTCCAAAAGAATATCCTTATGCAAAAATGTAGAAATTTACATCTAAATAAGTTCAATTTTAAAACAACCTTTCCAGTCAACTATAAAGCTTTTGAAAAACTTGATAAATAGATGAAACTCTTGCAAACCTAAAATTTTATTCTTTCTCCAGTTATAGCTAAATTCAATAGGCTTCTTTTTTTGCACACGATTTTGAGGTAACTAAGATTTGTCAAGAGGTATGAAGAACAAAACATGTAAATAAATAAATAATAACTAGAACATTTAAAATATAGAATTATTACAACATTAATATCAGATAAACAATTACCTATAAACATGATTCATTTAACAAATTCAATATTTACAATACCCATTAATTAATATAAACATAATTAGCAGATTTAAAATTACAAAATACAGACAAAAAATTTAGCCAACATGATTTTTCTGGATGTATCCCAAATAAGTATATGACATTTAAAAAACATTATAAGAATAAAAATAATTTTACTTATCTCTAAACTTACAATTTTTGAACATATTCCATCCTAAATTGTGTCAAAATGTCAATTAAAAAACTGATACGGTTACGAATGAGTCAACTCTAGAACAGGTAAGGCAATATTTGTCAACCTTACAACCAGTGTTTATATATTAGACGATGCCTCATTATTAATCAAACAGGCTGTTGCATTAAAACTTCCCACATTCTTTGTTGTAGTTCCAGTTGGACATGATTCACAGGAATGTCTTCCAGGATAGATCTGATAAGTTCCTATCGAACACATCTGACATGTCTTGGCCTCAAAATATGTTCCAGGAGGACATTTGACTGAAAAAAACAAAAAAGAACAAAATAATCACAATGACAAAATAGTAATAATCAAAATTATGACCAGTTCTAAAATTATTTCTTCTTTTTTTTTAGATCATTCTTTTATTTTTATGGAAAAGGCTTCTGCATCAAAATATACATGTAGCAGGCTATTAACTGAAACTGGAGAATTATCTCAAAGACATATATTATACCACCTCAATGAGTTAACACTTGACTACAACATGCAATTGTTCATGACAAACTGAAGTTTTCCAGTGAAAATCACCAATAAATAATTACCACACAGCAATCCTTGGGTGAGTGTCCCATTAGGACATTTTACAGATCCCAAACTTGTCTCAAGTTTTTCACATGTTGCTTCTTTATTTACAGTTACGGTAAAATCTGATTTCTTTACAAAGAGACTGGATTCATCTAATACACGTATAGATGTCTCTAACTCAGATAGTAAAACACTTTCTGAAAAATATAGCAATAATGTTAAAAATAGGTTGCCACTTGCCAGGCAATGAAACATTCGTCCACAGCAGCTAAACCATATTTATTCTTTTGTAGGTAATTGGGGGACTTTAAAAGGTAATTTTCATACAGATCAGATTATAATTTTCGTTGTTTGAGGGTTCACATGTTTTAAAAACTGAAACAAGGCCCTTAGCTCTGGAAGTAATTTACAGATATTATTGAAATTTGACAAGACTTTTTTGTTTTACTATAATGCATATAAATTTCATATAGATCGGATGATAACTTTTGTCAGTCGTACATTCAGAAGGTTCAACAAAGGGCCAATAACTCTAGAAGTAATTTGAAATTCAATAGACTTCTTCATTTCACTAATTTACATTGCACATATAAATTTCATACAGATCGGATGGAACATTCACAAGATTCAACAGAGTTAAACAAGGGCAATAACTCTTGAAATAATTATTGGAAATTGCAAAAATTCAATAGAATTCATTATTTCACCAATTTACATGATGCATATAAATTTCATACAGATCAGATGAAACTTTTGTTGTTGGAGCATTCACACGGCGCAACAAAGTGAAACAAATGCTATCACTCCAGAAGAAATTAACAGGAATTATTGTATTGTAATTAAATAGTTGTAAGATAATATCAAAGGATCTAATGATAAGGATGACTGTATTTTAACAATGCAGGAACAAACATTAAAAGTTATTACATCTATAATGCTAACAACCAATATAGAACACAGGAACATAACATATCATAACAGATTGTAGTCATTCACGTCTGCCTCCATTGTCATATATACCCTCGTTCTGTATTGTACAGCGATCTCCGATCTGCTTATCTCTCGGTAAGCTTGTCTGAGTTATGCTTCTACCTGAGATCATTTATAACGGTTTAGGTGATATTTACAAAATACCTCAAAAATATACATCATTAAAAATCAAAATCTTGTTATACATACTTGTTCCATCTTCCACAAAATCTTCTAGTTGTGACTGATTGTTAGCGGGGGTATTTATTTCTAAACTCATCTGAATACGAACTCTAGTTTCACACGGAATTTCCCTGACCTCTACTTGACATTTATTAGATGACACACAAGTAATAGCATGTGATTTGTTCAGCAGCTGCCATTTAATATCATTGGTAGTCTCACTGTCTCCACATTTAAGTTCGGGATATTGTGTAATAAACTTGACAGACAGAGATTCAGGTTGTACAATATCTAAATAAAATAAAATTACAGAAAAAAAGGATTTTTTTTTAATTCATAAGCAAATTTTCATGCAGACTTAAATTTCATCCCTAGTACAAATTTTAGCTCTAAGGCAATGAAAAGAAATGAAATAAAATGGGGTTTAACGTCCTACTGTTTTGCTCCTAACTGGGCTAATGAAGACGGGCATTTGCCATACAGTGTGCTATGAGGGAAATTTTGCCCGACACTACGGCCTACTCTTATATCAAATTCGAACTGTCAAGGGATCTTTTATGTGCACGGCAATGTGTACGCGGGACCTTGGTTTTTCGTCCCATCCGATCGACTAGATAGCTGTCCTTATCAGGCCCTGCACCACTGACAAGGGGGAATAAGGCAATGAAAAGACTTCCTGCTTAAAATATGTTAGCTTCAGCAACCGTGAATAAGGCCTTAGGTCTAAATGAGAAAGAAATAATATTAGGTTTAGTATCTGTTTACCCAGCATAGCACAGCCACGAATCGAAAGTAGCATAACTCTGAAACCGAACGTGGTAGTCCAACGCCATCAGATAAATGTTATTCCCTGGTTCGAGTTACACCAATACACTAAATTTCAGCCATGGGACAGTCCTAGTGTAGCCGCCAACCCTGAACAGTCAGACAAATAGACAAACGACAGTCATTAGTATAGATTAAATAAAGGAGTGAGAGTCTGTCCAAGGGTTTGTCAAATGCTGTGCTTTGCACTTACTACTGTAAGTACAGTATATTGTTTTAATTAAACATGCATTATGCAAGAGCTAAATCTGCCTATTGCAGGTCTTTCTTTTGCCCTGAAATGTTATCTAAATTATTAATTAGACATTAATTAACTTATCCAGGCCATAATCATTTCTCGATGGCATCGTTAGCCTGCGATATTTACTGGATTATGATCCCATTTGCTGCTCGACTTCCATTCATAATTTAATCATGAAATGGATGATCGAAACTATGTTTTTTTCAGCAAATTGCCTTTACATTATCTAGTTTTTAACTATATATAGTGAGAACTGCCAGCTCTTTATCTAATCTCCCATAATGTATCGTTAACTAAACTGCCGAATATTCAATGATAAAAACCTACTTGTACATGGTATTAGGTTTTTACTTGGCGTCCATAATCCGTTGTTACAGGTAAAGACAGGGGGTTCATTTATAAATACCAGTCCAGGATCACAGGTGAGTTTACAAGTTAAACTATCATTCTTGGTACAGTTTACAGATACACCATATGCTGATACTAAATCATCTTCACTACAATCTACAAAATACAAGAGAAAGACATACCTTTGTCGGTCAGTAAATTGGGGATTTAAAGTACGCTTACACACTTGAGTGATATCGAAGACAAACCTTTATTTGAATAAATGAAATGAAATGGAGTTTAACTGCCTGCTTTTTATTTGAATAAGGGGGGGTTGGATGGCTGAATGGTTAGCGTACGCGTGCTGTATCATAAAGTCTGTCATTGAGTCGACTGGCATGGTTTCGAATCCCCGGTTATATGTGACAAGGAGTAGGGTCGCCTGTCCAACCTCGTGGGTTTTCTCCGGGTCCTCCCTACGCGCAAGCGAATTATGTAAATAAAATTAAACCATACGTTAGTCCCGAAATGACCTAGTTTGTGTTGAGTGGACGTTAAACCCCATTTCTCTCTCTCTCTCTATTTGAATAAGAATTGTACAGATTTGGAAAGGGCTTTACCGTGACATGACAACAGACAATTATGCCCCCAGTGAGTGTCCTTGTAGACAAATATAACAGTAGGCGATATGAAATTGAATAGGCCATTTATTATTAATAAATGACAGGAAAATACCTCTCAATAATTATTACTCACTGACATGTGTTATTACCAACCAGCAATGAAATGAAGCAACCTCTGATACATGAGAGTTAGCTCCCTTCTGTCAATCACCATAAATGCTATTTACCCCTTTGGATAAATATTACTTTTGCTGTGCGAATAAATCAGAGTACCCGGAGTCAACTCACAAAGCTGAGATGACATGCCTATCTGCAAGCCTCATACGCTCACATCAGGGGTTCAAGTTCCAACCCATCACCCCATCTCTGGCATTTGGGATTCTTAATAGTAGAGGACGGTGAGAAATACATTTATATGTGCCATGGTTATGCATTGTCTTAAACGTTGATATGTTGAGGTCCAGCTAACTAAATATTCACCAACTTTATTTAAGGATTTAAGGGCTCTTATATTATACAAAAAGCCTCATGTGCTAGCATAACCTCATAAGGGGAATAATCCTGGAAGTTCCTACTAAACACTGTTCACTAAATTTCAGAAAGATTAATAATTAATGATGATAAAGTGCTAATAAGATTTCGTAACTCTGGAGGTGATTGATTATGGAAAAATAATCAGTTCCAGAGAAGATATATGTATTTTTGTACACTTTAAAGGCTCAATACCACTCTCGTTGCAACTGAATAATATGTCCCAATCTATATTCTGGTCAACAAATTGTACTATTTTAGAATATTTCAATTAATTGATGATACAAATTTCATCTTAACACACCTTATTTAAAAATTTTGAAAATTTCAACATAATGCCATGGTTTGAAACGTAAACCTTTTCAAATGAAACTTCAATTTAAAAATATTTTCGAACCCTCTGGACAAGTAAAATAGTATGTAATGGATAATTTACACAACAGGTAGGACACTTAAACATCTAGTACTTGGATAGATATATTATTTATTTTCTGGAGCTTTCAAGCCAGCAAGAGTGTTATTGTCCCTTTAACAAACCATTGGCACGATTAGCTAAAAATATTATTTAAAAAAAAAAAACAAAAACAAAAAAAAAAACTTTACCATTACAAACATCTTCTGTTGCATTAGTTTTTCTTTTACAAGACATCTTCTGAAAATCTTGACCAGGACAATGCCGAGATTTATCATGCTCATGGGTTGAATTACACTTCCTTACTCGCATTCGTTCACCTGAACACTGTGATGTACACTCCGACCATGGTGACCATTTAAACCAGAAAGAAACGGCTAGATATAGAAATAAAAAAAAGTGTTGATGATTTGGTGATCAAAATCTCATGCAAGTGCGCAATTTTTGAGGGAGAAACATATGGATAGGGAATTCAGTGTTTGTGCTAATCAACAGCCTGATACTATGTAGTGTACATGTAGAAAGCATTTAACAATTAGCTTCTCAGTAATAGGAGTCAGTATTTTCCACGAATGTTGTGTACTCCTGTACACACAAGGTCCGAAATAAATGTTTCACGTTCTGTTTTTAAGTTTATTGTAGATAAGGTCTACACATACACGAATTGACACAAATATTCTATGATACCGCCAGTTGCAGTTTTCTAACGGTTAAAAGGTAAACATATATTTAGAGATAACAACCTTGATGGGCACGTTTGATTGGGATACACAGAATTCATATAGTTTCATGAAGTACCGTAACTAAAACAGGTAACCAATAAAATGTTCAATTTACAAATGAACTATATTTTACGGTCTTGTGCCTAATCACTAATTTCCGGAGATTTCACCAAGGTTTCACACTTGTCAAAGGTATGCCCAGCAGTACACATGGACAGAATCTTATGTTACTAGTAAATCCCAAATCATTGTCAACCCATTCCATACAAAAAATGACCCAAAAATTAGGCAGCAGAAAAGTTAGGATTACAATATGCATCGAATGAAGAGAGGCATAATATACCATTCAGTAGACCTGGACAGCAGTGTTTCGCTCTACACTTTGTTGAACTCCACTTACAGGAGTGTTTATTACATTTTACTTGTTACTTACGTACGCAGGGTTGTACCAGTTTACTAGGAGACCATTTATTGTTTATACAGGTATATGCTGGAGGTTTGGTTTTAAATACGAACTCTGGTTCACAGACAGGACGACAAACAGTAGATCGTGCTGAACCAGAACAGTTAACAGATGTTCCAAAAGGTTTCAGGAGATCATCACTCGAACAAACTGAAAAATAAACAATTAAAAATACATTATAGGAGATAAGATAAAGAGCTGGCAGTTCTCACTATAATAGTTAAAAACTAGGTAATGTAAAGGGAATTTGCTGAAAATTTCAGTCAAATTGATCCCCTCTCAACCAAGATTTCAGTTATTGAATTTTCGGCCTAGCCTCGAACATCATTCTTTAAGTCGGTACGATAAAAACCATAGTCTCGATTATCCATTTCATGATTTAATTATGAATTGATGTTGAGCAGCAAATCGGAACCTAATCCAATAAACATCGCAGGCTATCGATGACATCGAGAGTTGATTATGGTCTGGATAAGTTAATTAAAGTCTAATTAATAATTTAGATAACATTTCAGGCCTAAAGAAAGACCTGCAATAGGCAGATTTAGCTCTTGCATAATGAATGTTTAATTAAATTTTCAGCTTTAGCAACAAAATCAAGTCAGTTAGAACCCGTGTTTTTAGAGCCACACCAGGTGCTTCTGACTTTATTAAACAACCAATATAAAGCACCTTGTTCACTAAAAAATCTAAATTGATTAAAATCTCACCTGGACATTTTGCTTTGTTACAAAATCTTTTTTCAGATGGTTCCCCATGACAAGGAGTTTGTTCTGCATTTTTGACACAGATTCTTGATCGGTTCTGCATTCCTTCTCCACAAGTCTTAGCACTACAATTACTCCATGGGCTCCATTCTTCCCATCTTGAATGATTGCCTTCTAAAGCTGAAAAAAATTAACCACACAATAAATATGCAGACCTGATATATTCCCCAAAATAGAATAATGGCAATAAAATTTATATAGAACAGATCTTTATTTGAAGCACTATATATTATAATCATTTAAAAAAAATAGTTTACACTGCGATTTATCAGCATAGCTACAAGCTGCCATTTGTACTTTGCAATGTTCCTTGAACATTTCAGATTGTGATTAACAAACTTTTGAGCTAAATTTCTCACAGTAACATACTGTTTGGATTTGTACCTGATAACTGATGGCGATTAACAAACTTGTGAGCTAAATTTTTTTTTTTCTAAATTTCTCACAATAACATATTGTTTGGATTTGTACCTGATAACTGACAAAAGAATCCTGTGAACTGTTTAGAGCAGAGACAAGTGTAATAACCATTTCCATCAGCTGTACATCTTCCACTATTCTCACATCGACTGTTGGTACAAACATCTATAGCAATATCACATCTATCCCCACGATAACCAGAAAAACATGAACAAGTGAAGTTATCCTTACGATTTTGACAGGTACCATTTCCACATGGAGAAGATTTACAATTATCTAAAAATACAAGATTGTGGTAAAATCGTTCTGGAGTTAAGTCATATTGTTTCCATTCAAAGCTTGTATGTGACAAGGAGTAGGGATGCCTGTCGAACCTCTAAATTTTTCTCTGGGTCCTCCAGTTTCCTTCTACTGCAAAAAATCCCTATGGACAAGTGAATTATTGAAATAATATGTTAGTCCTGAAATAAACTAGTTTGTTAAATTCCCTATCTCTCTCCTCTCTCATAACATAAAGCAGTTAAACTTACATTATGCAAGAGCTAAATCTGCCTATTGCCGGTCTTTCTTTAGGCCTGAAATGTTAGGGGGGGAAGCTACCGAAAAAAAATTTCGTCAAATTTTAAAGTTATTGAATTGAAAATGGTACAAGTAGTTAGGAAATGTAATAAACAATGGAAAACTAACATTTAAAAAATGTTATTGTCTGGGTAACATATTTTTTTGGGGAAAAAGTATGAAAAAGAGGGCTACAGTGATTTTAAAATAAGGTTTTCTTAGCCACAGTGATGCAATTTGACTGAAATTTTCAGCATATTCCCTTTACATTATCTAGTTTTTAACTATTATAGTGAGAACTGCCAGCTCTTTATCTAATCTTCCATAATGTATTTTTAATAAAACATCAAACCTTTGTAACGCATAAAATATATTCCCCTCTTTATAGGTAGCAAAAATTGAATCATTCTGGAAATGTACAACATCCCTGACACTACACATGCATAGATTCCTAAAATCAACATGAGATAAATATATTGCCTTGAAATGTGATGTTTGTGAGAAGTTATTCAGACCAGTAAAGATCTGCTGACACAATAAAAACACAGCAATAAAAAGATCCCTCTCCACATCAGATTTTTTTAGGAAGTATTTTCTGAAAACCAGAATAGTGTTTTGTATGGCCTTATATAACAATTTTTACCTTCGATAACAGGGTGTGGTTGTTTAGGGGTACATTTTCTACTGCCTCTTTCACTTGTACCACCATCTGGGCACGGTAAGCATGGTATCATACCAGTCTCAGAATAAAATCCTACTTTGCAAGGACCTAAATAAAAATCATTATAGAAATACCAGTAATTGACAAATGTTTTAAATGTATTATTATTGAATAAATACCATGAAAGTAAAGTTTTAATTATAAATTACAAAATTCAATGTTAATTTAATCCAGGTATAGTATCAATAATACAAGGTTAATTTAAACATACATTATGCAAGAGTTAAATTTGTCAATTGCAGGTAATTAGACATTAATTAATGATACATTATGTAAGATTTAAATAAAGAGCTAGTTATTCTTGCTATAATAGTTAGAAAATAAATAATGTAAAATGAATAATTTAAAAATATCATTCAAATTACTCTATTGCGAGCAAAGATATTAGCCTTTGAAGGTTTGACGAGACGTGTGCAATAATTTCAACCACCGTACTGTTTGTTCGAAGCTAAGTCTCACTCCTCCATTTTTAGCTTAAATCAAAATATAGCTGAACTGTTCTAATCTATTTAATACCGGAGAAATCCGATGCCATCGAGAGTTGATTATGGCCTGGATAAGTTAATTAATGTCTAATTAATAATTTAGAAAACATTTCAGGCCTTAAGAAAGACCTGCAGATGTAGCTCTCGCATAATGTATGTTTAACCAGACCATAATTAACTCTCGATGGCATCGTTAGCCTGCGATATTTAGTGGATTATGATCCCATTTGCTGCTCGACTTCCATTCATAATCTTATCATGAAATTGATGATCGAGGCTATGTTTTTTATCATACAGACTTTAGTAATGATGATCGAGGCTAGGCTGATATTTCAATCGCTTAATTCTTGGTTCATAGAGGATCAATTTGACTAAAATTTTCAGCAAATCCCCTTTACATTACCTAGTATTTAACTATTATAGTGTGAACTGCCAGATCTTTATCTTATCCCCCACAATATATCTTTAATCAGTGTAAACTGCCAAGTATCAAATTTGTAATCAGTATAAAGTATCAATAATACAAGGTCAATTTAGTCAGTATAAAGTATCAATAAAAATAAATTAAAGAAACAACAATTAAATACCTGAACATTATAATAATAACCACCAAAATTAATTAAGCTGAAATATAAAGTAAACATTGAAATCTGAACAAATAAACAAATAAAATTCAATTTTTAAATAACTAAACATAAACCTTAAATTCTGCTCTTCAAGGCAAACACTCTTAAAACACTTTCAACTAAGATGCATGTCATGAATCTAAATTACCTTGACATTGGCTGACATATTTTGAGCCGATACTTTTGGTTGTATATCCTGTTGAACAAGTAATACACTCAAGGGAGTTTTCCTGTCCTTGATAGAATCCTATGGGACACATTTTACAACTGTCACTTAGGCTATCATACATACTTCCAGACGGACAAACAACTGTCAAAAAAAATCCAAAACAATCATATGACCATGAGAGTACAAGTACAAGCAACTCTTTCTTACAATAGCTTTATGAATAGGTTTATAATTACATTGATGTAAAATAATTAATACTAATATGATGCTATGTATTATGTAGTGTCATAGAGTATTATAATGCAGTGTCATGTAGTACTGTAATGTAGTACTTTTAATGTAGTGTCATGTAGTACAGTAATGTAGTGTCATGTAGTTCTGCAATGTAGTGATACATAGTACTGTAATGTAGTGTCATATAGTACTGTAATGTAGTGTCATGTAGTACTGTAATGTAGTTCCATGTAGTACTATAATTTAGTGTCATGTAGTACCGTAATGTAGTGACATGTAGTACTGTAATGTAGTTTCATGTATTATTGTAATGTAGTGTCATGTAGTATTGTAATGTAGTGCCATGTAGTTCTGTAATGTAGTGACATGTAGTACTGTAATGTAGTGGCATGTAGTTCTGTAATGTAGTTCCATGTAGTACTATAATTTAGTGTCATGTAGTACCGTAATGTAGTGACATGTAGTGCCATGTAGTACTGTAATGTAGTTTCATGTATTATTGTAATGTAGTGTCATGTAGTACCGTAATGTAGTGACATGTAGTACTGTAATGTAGTTTCATGTATTATTGTAATGTAGTGTCATGTAGTATTGTAATGTAGTTCTGTAATGTAGTGACATGTAGTACTGTAATGTAGTGGCATACTGGCATGTAGTACTGTAATGTAGTGACATGTAGTACTGTAATGTAGTGACATGTAGTTCTGTAATGTAGTGACATGTAGTTCTGTAATGTAGTGGCATGTAAGTACTGTAATGTAGTGACATGTAGTAATGGAATGTAGTGACATGTAGTACTGGGCCCTTATTCACGAAAACTTAAACTAAGATACAATTGAAATTTTAAGAAATACTGCTATTCGATTGGCTGACCAGTAAAATCAATTTGCATATATCCAATGAAGTTGCAGTATTTCTTAAAATTTCGGTTGTAACTTAGTTTAAGTTTTCGTGAATAAGGGCCCTGTAATGTAGTTTTATGTATTGTACTGTAATGTAGTGTCATGTAGTACTGTCATGTATTGTACTGTAATATTATAATATATATATCAATAAGAAACATTCACCATACATATAAACAATACAAATATTTTCAACTTAAGAAAAATATTGGTGGCTAATATTAACAAGAGCATCGCTAACGCAGCAATATACGTCCACATTCCTGTTTTGTTTGATATGGTCCAGTTTGCATTGAGGGTCTGTGAAATAAAACTGGGTTGTAGGACTGCTATCAGTTTAACACTTCGTTCACATTAACAGAACACAATTTTTATTTTAAAACAATCGATGTCTTTATTCCAAAAAAATGACGTTTCGAATAGGTATGCAAAGTTTCAAAAGAATCTGTTAAGAATTGCGGTCTGTAGGCAAAACACAAGACACACAAACATTAGGTGTGGCTCTGTCCCAAGGGGTCGAGCATGCACCAAAAATAATAATAGAGGTCGGCCTTAGGATTAAGGAATAAGTATAAAAAGTAGCCTTAGGCTATAAGGAATAAGTATAAAAAAGTTTTCAAGATGATCGATTAAGAAATGCGGTCTGCAAGTGACACACAGACATAAAAAAAGAAAATGGGCGTAGCTCTGCCCCTGGGGGTTGGGTATTCACCACAAATAATAGGGATGTTCCTTAGGATAGAAGGAATATGTATGCTAGGTTTCAAGGTGATACGATAAGAAATGCGATCTGTAAATATAAGGGATGGGCGTGGCTCTGCCCCTGGCGGTCGGGCATGCACCAAAAACAATAGGGATCATCGTTAGGGTATAAGCAATTCATATGAAATTTTTTCAAGACGATTGATTAAGAATTGTGGCCTGTAGGTGACACACAGACATAAAAAGAAAAGGAAATGGGCGTGGCTCTGCCCCTGGAGGTAAAAAAACAATAGGGATCATCGTTAGGGTATAAGCAATTCATATGAAAAAATTTAAAGACGATTGATTAAGAATTGTGGCCTGTAGGCGACACACAGACATAAAAAAGAAAATGGGCGTGGCTTTGCCCCTGGGGGTTGGGCATGCACCCAAAACGATAGGGATGTTCCTTAGGGTACAAAGAATAAGTATGCAAAGTTTCAAGATGATACGTTAAGAAATGTGGCCTGTAGACGACAAACAAACAAATACAAAAAATGGGGGTGGCTCTGCCCCGGGGAGGCGAGCATGCACTAAAAACAATAGGGATCATCCTTAGGGTATAAGGAATAAGTATGTAAAGTTGATACGTTAAGAAATGCGGTCTGTAGATGACAAACAAATAAATAAATATAAGGAATGGGCGTGGTTCTGCCCCTGGGGGTCGGGCATGCACCAAAAACAATAGGGATCATACTTAGGGTATAAGCAATTCATATGAAAATTTTTCAAGACGATTGAATAAGAATTGTGGCCTATAGGCGACACACAGACATAAAAAGAAAAGAAAAAGTTCGTGGCTCTGCCCCTGGGGTCGGGCATGCACCCCAAACGATAGGGATGTTCCTTGGGGTACAAAGAATAAGTATGCATAGTTTCAAGATGATACGTTAAGAAATGCGGTCTGTAGATGACTAACAAATAAATAAATATAAGGAATGGGCGTGGCTCTGCCCCTGGGGGTCGGGCATGCACCAAAAACAATAGGGTTCATACTTAGGGTATAAGGAATAAGTATACCAAGTTTGAAGAAAATCCAGTAAGAATTGCGCCCTGTAGGCGACACAAAGACACACGAAAAGAAAATGGGAAATGGGCGTGGCTCTGCCCCTGGGGGTTGGGCATGTACCCCAAACGATAGGGATGTTCCTTAGGGTACAAAGAATGTGTATGCAAGATTATAAGTTAAGAAATGTGGCCTGTAGACGACAAACAAACAAATACTAGAAATGGGCGTGGCTCTGCCCCTGGGGGTCGGGCATGCACCAAAAACAATAGGGATCTTCCTTGGGGTATAAGGAATAAGTATACCAAGTTTGAAGAAAATCCAGTAAGAATTGCGCCCTGTAGGCGACACAAAGACACACGAAAAGAAAATGGGCGTGGCTCTGCCCCTGGGGGTTGGGCATGCACCCCAAACGATAGGGATGTTCCTTAGGGTACAAAGAATGTGTATGCAAAGTTTCAAGATTATTAGTTAAGAAATGTGGCCTGTAGACGACAAACAAACAAATACTAGAAATGGGCGTGGCTCTGCCCCGGGGGGTCGGGCATGCACCAAAAACAATAGGGATCTTCCTTGGGGTATAAGGAATAAGTATACCAAGTTTGAAGAAAATCCATGAAGAATTGCGCCCTGTAGGCGAACCACAGACACACACACACACACACACACACACACACACATACATACATACACACACACACACACAGACAGGGGCGACGGCATAATACGTTCACATTATGAATGTGGACGTATAAAAAGCAATTCTGGGAACATTACATGAGGAAATTACTACAGATCTAAAGAAATGCATATCTTTATGAAATAAGGTAAATGAAAACATACGACAGTTAAGAGTAGCTTCATCGAGTAATCCTCCAACACCACAAGCTGTAGACGTCTCGTAGATATTATAGGAAGAAAAATCGAGACTAAAGCCAGGTATTATAAAGTTAAACATTTCACTGTCTAAATCTTGAATAAAACCAAAGAAGAGATCATAGAGAATGCTTTCAATCATCCATCTGTTCTCATCTGAATTGCTTTCATCCGATTGCTGCATGTCAACGATAAAAAACCATGTTACTGTTGTCTGATACATCGCAGCACGTTTTCTCCTTGAATGCTGTAAAACAAAAGCAAATATTATCATTGTGAACTATATACAAATGTGGGAATGGAACCACAAACTTGTCTCTATGACAGACCTAAAAAAAAGGATGTGGATGAAAAGCAATATTTTTTTTAAAAAATGTCCAGCAAGGCTGGGAAAAAACAAAACAAAAACCAATTCATGTAAAAAAAAATGTTTACATTTGACAGTTGGATGGCCATATGAACATGAGGATGAATAATAATTATTCTTTATAATTTATACCAATGTCTATAGAAGAATAAAAGCAATATTTACTCTTTTCTTTCTGTACCATGAGTTCTCCGTGCAGGTGACCTTAATACGATCAACAAGACACGTTTTATGAGATGGACATGCACCCTTCCATCCACTAGCAGATTCCATACGACTCTTAAAACTGGTCTGAATCTGTTTTCTAACATCAGCAGATGAACAATCTCCATATATATATCTTAATTCAGCTTTTAGACTTATTTTTGTTGCTTGTCTTATTGCTGAAAAAAAAAAAGAAAAGAAGGATTGATCACTGACATTATAAACATTTTCAAACCAAGGGTATTTTTTTGATAAAAACCGTTGGACAGGCGACCCTACTCCTTGTCACATACAACCGGGGATTCGAAACCATGCCAGTTGACTCAATGACAGACCTTATGATACAGCGAGCACATGCTAACCATTTGGCCATGCAACCCCCTCAACCTCACAGTTGAAACCATGAAACAACTTTATGTGAAATCACCCTTTGGATTGACAGCTCACAGATAACATACTTAAACACAGCGTTGCCATGCAATGTATACACACTACCATTTTTTTATCACTCACAGTAACTACACGTTTAATTGGGTCTGAATTTTGACAGGGTTCATGTTTAGGACTAGAAATGCATTCAGACATACTTTAAAAGCAAGAAAATTTTTTGATGTACCTGTACAATCTGGAAGTTGTTCAGATGGTAACCAAACCCCTTGTGATGAATTACACTTGTAAGTGTTGAAACCTCGGGGTATAGAGTAACTGGAATCGCATTCAAGATTACATTCAAGACCATCTGTTGTTGACTGACAAACGGCAGTACCTTGATCAGGAGAAGATAATTCTTGACAGTCTGATGGTGCGTCACCTGCAAATATAAAGAATTATATGTTTAACTTTTTGTCAACTTTACTTAGATCAGCGTTATTTCTACGAAATGAAATTAAATGGGGATCAAAACCTACTTTTCTGTAAATTCTAGATGAACTACGAAAGATGAAAGGAACAACAGTAAACTTCATCCTCTACTTCAACTAATAAATTGTCTTCTACAGCCATCCTAAAATCTAATTTTTCTTTAGACGATGAAAATTAATAAAACTTTAACTATCCTTATCGTTGCCATTGGAAACCCTGATATGTGTCACATAAATATTTAGTAGCTGTGACAGGCCCAATAGCAAAAAGTCAACAATTCATCCTAAAACATAATTAATAACTTTACTTTCACATGTAGGTGTTTGTTGATAGTTTAACTTCCAGACAGCGATTGGTGGTTCCCATATACAAGTCATCATATCAGCACCCCATAATGTACCATTTTCACAACTAATGAAACATTCATCTCCCACTGTATAACCTTTACAGTCATATCTTAAGCCAGTAGTGTTTGATGGAGGATCACAGATTAACACAGGGGAAGGAGTTGTCTCTGGTGCCATTGTAGTAGTAGGATTTAATAAATATGGATCTGAAAATGGCAAAATATATAACACTAATGGTATGAAAAATGTATGTTACGGATGGCAACCGTTTTCCAGGTTGTTTTTCAAAATGAAAACCTAAGGGTGGAGTCGCTTGATTTTAATTTGAATAACAATCCGGTGGAAATATGTTGATGTCTGACTTCCGCATCGACACAAACTATAAAAAAATACAAATTATCCAATATTAATCGCTTATCTAGTGCACATCAAATTCAAAGCACGATGAACATGAAATATGGCATGTTGCTACCCTGACAAATGCACATAGGTCAACAGACTCAATTGATGTCACAATTCCAAGATGGTGGTGATAACTTCATGCCTGTTTCCTTGTTTCAGGCACTTTTGTACTTGTTTTTAATAATGAAAGTTTGTAAAATAATTATCTTTGATATGTATATATTTATCAATTAAAGATACATTATGGGAGATTAGATAAAGAGCTGGCAGTTCTCACTATAATAGTTAAAAACTAGATACTGTAAAGAGAATTTGCTGAAAATATCAGTCAAATTGATCCACTATTGATTAAATTATGAATGGAAGTCAAACAGCAAATCGGAATCTAATCCAATAAACATCGCAGGCTATCGATGTTATCGAGAGATGATTATGGTCTTGATAGGTTAATTAATGTCTAATTAATACTTTAGATAACATTTCAGGCCTAGAGAAAGACCTGCAATAGGGAGATTAAGCTCTTGCATAATGTATGTTTAATCAATAAATCAATCATACCTGTGCATTGATCCAAAGAATTAGCACCGATATCTGTTGTTGTTAAACCAGAGGGACAAGGTAAACATTCTCTAGAATTAAACTGATCTTGATAAAATCCAACAGGACATTCAACACAACTGTCACTAGACTCATTATACCAGCTTCCTGATGGGCAAAAAACTAAAACAAAAAAACATTTGCAAAAGATAATAGTAATTTTGTTCCATATTAGAATATGTGATTGAAAGCTATCGCAGAAATTCTCAATTTAACCATCAGGTATTTTATTGTTAAATCACTCTGTTAGAAACCAAAATTGGCATGATAACCATACAGCAAATCCTTGTACATAAACTGTACAAAAGGAAGTCCGTTCTACATCTTCCTACGAAGAATATCTACATGAAAAGTAAGTAACAAGTAGTTGCCATGCAAGATATGCCCACATATTGCAAGAGATGGACAGAGAAAAAGCTAAAAAAAAAGAAGCGATTTTTGAACAATCGGGGTCCATAATCTAGGAAGTTACGGACCGAAGTGCATGAATATCTACAGGAACCAAAATCTTCAGGATATAAACATATATTTTAAGTTTCATCTAAATGGGATAACCAGCGGCGCTGGCAGGATACGCCCACATTTTGCAAGAGCTGGATAGAGAACAATCTAAAAACAAACATGATTTTTTTTGTACAATCAGGGGGAATAATCCAGAAAGTTATGGCCTGAAATGTGCTTTGGGATATAAAGTTTCATCAAAATCGGATAAAAATCTAGAGGGTCCACAACCTTCGTATTACACACTTCCAAACAATTTGCGTACAAAGAGCGGCCATTTTGTCCGGCAGTTTCATTTCGATTTTCACGAAATACATATTCAAATTTCATTATGGTGGAATGGTGATGTATTTAAACGGTTTTTAAAATCAGAAAAAAATTGTGACCTCTAGAGAATCTGCAAGCTAAAAATGTGCTTTTTTGAACAATCTGGGGCCATAATCCAGGAAGTTAGGTTCTGGTATCCGCGATTATCAAAAGGAACCAAGATCTTAGTGTGTAATGGTGATATATTCAAACAATTTTTTAAATCGGATAAAAATTGTGACCTCTATGGAGTCCACAAGCTAAAAACACGATTTTTCGTACAATCAGGGGCCATAATTCAGGAAGTTATGGTCCGATATGCGCGAATATCAACAGTAACCAAGATCTGTGGGTTATAAACATGCATTTCAAGTTTCATCAAAATCAGATGAAAATTGTGACCTCCAGAGGGTCCACAACCCTGATACACAATATTTTGACACTATTTGCGAACGAGGGGCGGCCATTTTGTCCGTCAGTTTCGGTTTGATTTTTACGAAATTCGAACCCTGCCATCCTTAGGGTGTAACGGTGATATATTGTAACAGTTTTTTTAATTGGATAAAAATTGTGACCTCTATGCGCGAATATCAAAAGGAACCAAGATCTGTCGGTTATAAGCCTACATTTCAAGTTTAAACCAAATCGGATAAAAATTGTGACCTCTACAGTGTTCACAAGCTAAAAACGCGATTTTTCGTACAATCAAAGGTCATAATTAATGAACTTACAGTCTGATACATACCAATATCGAAAGGAACCAAGATCTTAGGGTGAAAAATTTATATTTCAAGTTTCATTGTAATCAGATAAAAATTGTGATCTGTAGACTGTTCACAAACAATTGTGGACGGATGGACGGACACGACAATATACGTCCACATGAAAATGTGGGCATATAAAAATTGTGAACTCTAGAGTGTCCACAACCTTGATATTACATATTTTAACACTATTTGCATACAATATTTGAACGTGTTTTTAAATCAAATAAAAATTGTGACCTCTAGTGGGACCACAAGCTAAAAACATGAGTTTTCGTACAATCAGGGGCTATAATCCTGGAAGTTTCCATCTGATACATGCCAATATCGAAAGGAACTGAGATCGTTTGGAGATAAAAGTTTCGTCAAAATCAGATAAGCATTGTTACCTGTAGTGTGTCCACAAACACAGCCGGTGGCGACAACAATGTAGTCCACATGAAATTGTGGGTGTATAAAAATACAACATGGAAATTAGCTGTCTCTAGATGAGGGATTGAGGGATGGTTCAAGTTTGAACAAATTCTGGCACATTAATTATAACTTACAATTAACCAGCGGCTGCCAGGCAGGATACGCCCACATTTTCGAGAGATGGATAGAGAACAAACTAAAAAGAAAGTGATTTTTCCTACAATAAAGGGCCATAATTCAGGAAATTACGATTCGATAGGCGCAAATATCGAAAGGAACCAAGATCTTTGTGTTATAAACTTACATTTCAAGTTTCAACAAAATCGAATAAAAATTGTGAAATCTATAGGGTCCACAACCTTGATATACCATATTTTTTTACGCTATTTGAGAACGAACTGCAGTCATTTTGGGCTGATTTACACGAAATTCGAACTCAGCAATCCTTAGAATGTAATTGTGATATAATAATACGTTTTTTTAAATCGGATAAAAATTACGACCTCTATAGGGTCCACAAGCTAAAAACGTGATTTTTCGTACAATCAGGGGCCATAATTCAGGAAGTTAGGGTCCGATATGCGCGAATATCGAAAGGAACCGAGATCCTTGGATTATAAACTAACATTTCAAGTTTCAACAAAATCGGATAAAAATTGTGACCTCTATAGGGTCCACAAGCTAACCAGCGGCTGCCAGGCAGGATACGCCCACATTTTCGAGAGATGGATAGAGAACAAGCTAACAAGAAAGTGATTTTTCCTACAATCAAGGGCCATAATTCAGAAAATTACATTCGATATGCGCATATATCGAAAGGAACTGAGATCTTTGTGTTATAAACTTACATTTCAAGTTTCAACAAAATCGGATAAAATTTGTGACCTCTATAGGGTCCACAACCTTCATATACCATATTTTTACGCTATTTGAGAACGAACGGCGGCCATTTTGTCTGTCAATTTTGGGCCGATTTTCACGAAATTCGAATTCAGTCGTCCCTAGGGTGTAACGGTGATATAATAATACGTTTTTTTAAATCGGGTAAAAATTATGACTTCTATAGGGTCCACAAGCTAAAAACGTGATTTTTCGTACAATCAGGGGTCATAATTCAGGAAGTTACGGTCCGATATGCACGAATATCGAAAGGAACCGAGATCTTTGGGTTATAAACTTACATTTCAAGTTTCAACAAAATCGGATAAAAATTGTGACCTTTATAGGGTCCACAAGCTAAAAACGTGATTTTTCGTACAAACAGGGGCCATAATCCATGAAGTTTCGATCCGATACATGCCAATATCGAAAGCAGCCGAGATCTTTTGGGGATAAACCTATATTTCAAGTTTCGTCGAAATCGGATAAGAATTGTGACCTGTAGAGAGTCCACAAACAATTCTGGACGGACGGACGGACATACAGAGGCGACGGCATAATACGTCCACATGAAAATGTGGGCGTATAAAAACGTGATTTTTCGTACAAACAGGGGCCATAATCCATGAAGTTTCGATCCGATACATGCCAATATCGAGAGCAGCCGAGATCTTTCGGTGATAAACCTATATTTCAAGTTTCGTCAAAATTGGATAAGAATTGTGACCAGTAGAGTGTCCAGTCATACGGACGGACAGGAGCGACGACAATATACGTCCACATGAAAATGTGGGCGTATAAAAATATTAAACATTATAAAACAAGAGACAAGTAAAGTATGATCAGATACCATGGTAACAATCTATTACAAACTTTGTGCTGATTACTCCTTAATGTTTTTAGATGAAAGTAGGACAGGAGTTCTGGTAACAATTCACAATAATCATAAAATACTTACGACATGTATAGCTGACAAGATCAAATAACCCACCGTCTTTACATACATACGTCATATCAAATATATTATAGGAAGCAAAATCCAGCTGAAATCCTGGATATATACTGTCAAATAAACCAGTTTCCAAATCCGAATTAAAACCAAAAAATACTTCATACAATAAATTCTCGTGGGCGTAGTAGGCATCATATATAGACATGCCATTCATGTTTAATTCTACAGCAAAATTCCAAGTAACAGTCGTGATGACCCTCATTTGTCTTTTCTGTCGCAGACTCTACAAAATATTAAAGTAGTTTAGTTAGACCCATTGATGATAACATCAAATATTGTTTGCGGAATTCTATAACCTTATAAATGTGGCAGTATTTTGAATACCTTGCAACCTAAAATATTGTTAAAGATGAATCTCTAAAGGAATAGGAAATGCAATGGGGTTTAACATCCACACTGTTCTGCTCCTACTGGGCTAATAAAGACGGACATACGTCAAGCAGTGTGCTATGAGGGAGATTCTGCCTACTCATCTCAAATTCCAACCATCAAGTGTTCTTTTACGTGGATGCCAATGTGTACACAGGACCTCTGTTTGTCATCTCATCCGAATGACTATGTTTTTCCTTACCAGACCCTCCGTCCTACACCGCTAACAAGGGTGAACCACGCCAGAAAATCCCAATGAACTTTCTCAGCCAGCACAAGGATCGAACATGGGACCTCCAGGTTAGCGAGCCAATGTCCAACCCACTGAGCCACCATGGCTCTCCTAAAGGAAAGGAGTCCTTAAATGGATGAATTTCGTTCAGTATTTAGAAACATATGAATTAAAAAATTGTATCTGGCAAGCCGGATATTGTCATAACAAGCCAGTGCCACCTATGAAATATTGTTTGTGGAATTCTATAACCTTAAAACATTTCAAAACTTTGCTTGTCTGCGATATCACCTCGGTGGAAGCGGACGTTAAATACAACTAACTCACACAAAACTTTGATTATTCCTTTGGTTACAAAATCACATTTTACCACTTTTATAACTTACACTTTTAATAATTATTATGTGTGAAAGAACCATTGTGACTCAGTGAGTAAGGTGCTGGCTCATTAACCAGGTGATCTTATGGGTTGGCTGAGAAAGTTCCCCAGGATTTTCCAGCATGGCGGCCCTGCCAAGATAGTGTCTAGTCATTCGGATGGTAAGAAAAACAACCAACCCATTTATT